ACATGTAAGGATGATGTATTTTGTTTTTAGTATAAATCTTAAACGAAACAACACATCTTGATTTTTTTCCCGGACACACCGCACCCGTCACTACGGTCTTCTAATTAGTGTATTGGTTCACATTCCAACGGTAGCCGTGACAACAACAGGCTGTGGAGAGGTGTAAACACACCTTGTTACGTCACAGAGCACAACTATATTCATACATTGATGGAACGTTAAGTACAATTAAATATCTTCCGTACTGACATTTTATAACGTAACACTAATTACACCAAATTAACATTTAAATAGAGTGTATTCACTAAGAAAACATTCATTTTAATCGTAGAATATGTTGTAGCGTCTGTGGTAATGTTAGATTTAAGGAAACCGAAAGAGGATGTACAGGACGTCAACAGTTTAGTCTTTATGCAAAATAAAGATCGAATCATAACGGCGTCATTTTCCAATGGATACGCATAGCGGAAGTTATAGGAAAATTGGGCAAACCCTCGTTCTATAAATAAATCGCTATGTTATACATGTAGTTGACCAAGAAAGGTATGTGTACATGTAGGTGATGAACATGAAACGCCACGACTGTCTTATCTTCATTGTCTCTATTATGTTCGGTTAACAAATCATGATGTTGTGTTGACATGTCATTATTTTGGGTTGGCATGTCATAATGTTGAGTTAACAAAGGATTATTTTGCTTTGATAAATCTAGTGACTCAACAAGTTTGGTTTATTATGTTTGATCCGCATAGTTGAAACTGTAAATAATGTCACATGTTTTTCTATGTGTCGGGTGTATCCGTTGTAAAATACAGAAATCAACCTGTTTCGTGGTGGACGTACACTAGCACAACGACATAATATATGCTATAATTATAACGAGATATGACTAGTATCATTTAATCTGTTATAAATAATATTATATTCAATTGGAAATAATTAGTTGACTTGATATTGACGAGTCCTATGCCACCTGGCGAATATCTCCCTATGTGTGTATGCTTGCGTGTGTGCTGGAATTAGTGCCACCTCACTTGAATGCTACAGCACAGATACCGCAACATCCACCCCAGACCAATTTATACTCCACCTGGGTTGTACGAGTTGTGTGGGCAGGAAAAACAATACTTTCTCTGAATATCCATGCGTACGACGACTTATAGGGGATCGAACCCCGGCCGCCTGCGTGGAAGGCCGGGGTGTTCACCACTCGACCAATCCGCCCATAGTCATTCATACGTTTTTCTATCATTTGCGTCGGTCGTTATTTTCGTGCACTGATAGACTGCTATGATAGTGACTCATTGAATGTTCCAGAAAGATGCTGCTATTGAGTAATGCAAGTAAAAGAGAAAAATCATTACCTAAATTGCATCAGTTAATCTCTTTTATTTAACTATTGTTAACAATACTTTTATTTATTCTTTTTCGTATTTTTCTGGACCTTGTGTTTCGTGAGTAGCTGTGAAGACATGAATACATATTACATGTACGCAAATGTGATGATGAAATTTTGCCGAACCGTAAAGAAAACAGATTCTAAACTTTTCTTTGTTAATGAGGTAATAAATCAAGTCGAGCACGCTGTAAATTAATATTTACCGCGTGCTCGACTTGGTTTATTACCTCATCAACAAAGAAAAGTTAAAAGATAATCCTCAAGTGCGTACAGTCCGGACATCATGCATGTCCATACAGTTAGAACATCATACATGTACCTACAGTCCGGACATCATACATGTACATACAGTTAGGACATCATACATGTACAAAAAGTCTGAACATCATACATGTACACACAGTTACGACATCATACATGTACATACAGTTCGAACATCATACATGTACATACAGTTAGGCCATCATACATGTACAGACAATCCGAACATTATACAGGTACATACAGTTAGGACATCCTACATGTACATACAGTCCTAAGATCATACATGTCCATACAGCCCGAACATCATACATATTGAATGACAAAAACTGATAATTATTGTCCAACAAGTCCTTAACTGTCTTCACCCCATTCCGTTCATATTCCATATATTGTTTGTAACTAGGAACTGGTATGTAATTCAAAAGATCATCACCAAGAAAACTTGATACTTCATTATTGTCATCTTTATATTCCATCCATGCTAAAATAACATCTTTCCAGAAAACATTAGTTACATTTTTCGATATTTCCTCCAGTTTTGATTTTTTCAGATTCCATAATCTCTCCCCTCCAAATTTACTAAAATTAGATTTTGCTAAACTTTGCCAGTCCCCATTTCCATCATATATCCGGATAACTTACGGTTTGTTTATTACAAGTGGCTTGTTTCGTTTAAGAAAATTTATTAAAAAAAAAAGAAAAAAAAAAAAAAAAAAAAAATAATGCCCAGACTTTTTGTACATATATGATGTCCTAACTGTTTGTACATGTATGACGTCCTAACTGTATGTACCTGTATAATGTTCGGACTGTATGTACAAGTATGGTGTCCTAACTGTATGCACATGTATGATGTTCGGATTGTATGTACATTTATGATGTCCTAACTGTATTTACATGTATGATGTCCTCACTGTATGTACATGTTTGATATTCGGACTGTATGTTTCTGTATGATGTTCGGACTTTATGTACATGTATAATGTTCTGATTGTATGTACATGTATCAGGTCGTACCTGTGTGTACATGTATGATTGGACAATAATTATCAGTTTTTGTCATTCAATATGTATGATGTTCGGACTTTATGTACATGTATAATGTTCGGATTGTCTGTACATGTATGATGCTCAGACTTTTTGTACATGTATGATGGCCTAACTGTATGTACATGGATGATGTCGTAACTGTGTGTACTTGTATGATGTCCAGACAAAATTAGTATATGATATAATGCATGAATTAGAAGAAAAAAATATGTCTGGTTTGTTGCTACTTGTTGATTTTGAAAAAGCCTTTGACTCGATAGAATGGAGTTTTATTCATAGGTCTTTAAAATCTTTCAATTTTGGTGAATCTTTGCTTAAATGGATACATATTTTCTATCATAATGCAAAAAGCAGAATAATTAATAATGGGTATTTTTCATCATTTTTGGACGTAAAACGTGGATGTAGACAAGGGGATCCCATCTCCCCATATCTATTCCTGATAGGTGTTGAAATGTTGGCTATACAATGGAAAAAAAATAAAAGTATCAAAGGTGTACAAACATACATGTACATACAATCAGAACATTATACATGTACATACAGTCCTAACGTCATACATGTCCATAGAGTCCGAACATCATACAGAAACATACAGTCCGAATATCAAACATGTACATACATGTACAACATACAGCCGAATATCATACAATTACATACAATCCGACCATCATACATGTACACACAGGTACGACATCATACATCTACATACAGTTCGAACATCCTACATGTACATACAGTCCTAACGTCATACATGTCCATACAGTCCGAACGTCATACATGTACAAAAAGTCTGAAAATCATACATGTACACACAGGTACGACATCATACATGGACATACAGTTCGAACATCCTACATGTACATACAGTCCTAGCATCATACATGTCCATACAGCCCGAACATCATACATATTGAATGACAAAAACTGATAATTATTGTCCAACAAGTCCTTAACTGTCTTCACCCCATTCCGTTCATATTCCATATATTGTTTGTAACTAGGAACTGGTATGTAATTCAAAAGATCATCACCAAGAAAACTTGATACTTCATTATTGTCATCTTTATATTATTTCCATGCTAAAATAACATCTTTCCAGAAAACATTAGTTACATTTTTCGATATTTCCTCCATTACCGCGTGCTCGACTTGGTTTAATACCTCATCAACAAAGAAAAGTTACAAGATAATCCTCAAGTGCGTACAGTCCGGACATCATACATTATAAACACATCCCATACATACATACAACGACCAGAAAATAAACATCCTACAACAACATATACAGTTAGGACATCATAAATGTACAAAAAGTCTGAGCATCATACATGTACACACAGGTACGACATCATACATGTACCTACAGTCCGGACCTCATACATGTACATAAAGTCCGAACATCATATATGTGCGTACTGTCCGAACATCACACATGTACATACAGTCCTAAGATCATACATGTCCATACAGTCCGAACATCATACATGTACATACAATCCGAACATTATACATGTACATACAGTCCGAACATCATATATGTGCATACTGTCCGAACATCATACATGTACATACAGTTAGGACATCATACATGTACAAAAAGTCTGGATATCATACATGTACATACAGTTAGGACACCATACTTGTACATACAGTCCGAACATCATACAGAAACATACAGTCCGAATATCAAACATGTACATACATGTACAACATACAGCCGAATATCATACAATTACATACAATCCGAACATCATACATGTACATTCAGTCCGAACATCATACATGTACATACAATCCGAACATCATACATGTACATACAGTTAGGACATCATACATGTACAAAAAGTCTGGACATCATTTTTTTAATTTTTTTTTTTTTTTACGTTCAAATTGTTTTATTCCCCCAGCATTTTTGGGAGGGATGCCAGGGTTGGGGTGCCCCGGAATCATCCCTCTTACATAATATAGCCTCATGCAAAAGGCCTCTTTCTCTTCATTCTCTCTTTCTTTTTCATTCATTCTTTCATACTCAAATTCAAAATCATTCATTCTTTCATACGTATATTTTATTCATTACAATAACGATAATATTTATTTTGATTAAATTGATATATTAAATTACATCAACCATTCCTTCTTTATATATTCAAATATTGAACGTATTTTTATATTTATAAATTCATTTACATGCCAAACATTCTGCTTTATTGATTTGGGATTGCCATATTGTCCTAAAATTTAAACAAGATAAAACCGAATTCATGTACTTTAAATGGTGTTGTTTTTCATGTGTAATTTGGATTAGTTTAAGAAGGAATGTCTGGGGAAATAAAAAAGAGTACAAATACTAATGTACCTAGCAATTTAGACCTATATACATAAACACAAAAACATAAACAGTGTACAATTATGTGAAATTTAACTACAAATTATGTATTCATAAATACATCATACACACACTCGAAATGACAAATATATTACTTGAGTCATACATATATACCACACATAATTGTACACACATACACTCGTACCCATACACACACATCTTCGCATGCCTGATAGCATATAGATATTGCAAACATTCTTTATATTAAGACATTAATATATGGATACATCCATCCTTTCTATTACAGTAAATAATTATATATTTACCATCTACACATACACATAAACCAATAATCATACTTATCAACATCAAACATACACAAGACAGATATAATACATACATGTACGCCTGTTATTTACTTAAATACCAAAAATCTTCCTTCATGCTTTAATTAATTCTTTAAGTTTACCCGGATATGCAATTGATATTAAAAGCTTTTTTCTTAGATATTAAGGGGAGACCACTTTTGGTTAAACTTGTTCATTGTGTTATTCAAAGAAGACATCTTTTTTTCAATCTGTTGTTGTTGAATAATGCGTCTTTTTCCACCATTGAAAGACGGTTCAATATTTTTGAATCGACATGTATAGATATAATATTTAATAATCAGTATGAGATAGTTTATGATAGGTGGACCCTTTTCACAAAAAAATAACACATCCTTGATATTCATATGATCAATAATGATAATATTGTTATTCAAGTCATTCACCCAAGCCATTAAATCATTCCATATATTATTTATTTTCACACAGTTAAAAAATAAGTGTTCAATTGATTCTGGTGCATCTCTACAAAAAGTACATAGATCCTCATCCTTAACATTAATTTGGTAAAGAAAACTGTTTGTTGTTAATATTCTATGAAGAATCTTAAATTGTAGATTTTGAAGTTTTGTGTCAATTGTCACCAGAAAGCTTGTTAAATAAATTTTCTCCCAACCTATATCATCATTTAAATTTGTATTTAACTTTCTATTCCATTTTTCCTGCCTTTCAACTGGATAATGTTTGTAGTTAGCAACAATCGCTTTATAAACATATCTAAGATCTTTTGCTTGAAGAAGTCTTCTTAAAAGATTACTGTTTTCTGATTGATTGTTGATCAATGGTTGTTGTCGTATTATGTTTAAGTTTTCCCTTGGAATGTGGTCTATTACTGCGAAATATTGTAAAAAATTCATTTTCTCACATTTAGTCTTAATATCATTGAATGACAAAAACTGATAATTATTGTCCAACAAGTCCTTAACTGTCTTCACCCCATTCCGTTCATATTCAATAAATTGTTTGTAACTAGGAACTGGTATGTAATTCAAAAGATCATCACCAAGAAAACTTGATACTTCATTATTATCATCTTTATATTCTTTCCATGCTAAAATAACATCTTTCCAGAAAACATTAGTTACATTTTTCGATATTTCCTCCAGTTTTGATTTTTTCAGATTCCATAATCTCTCCCCTCCAAATTTACTAAAATTAGATTTTGCTAAACTTTGCCAGTCCCCATTTCCATCATATAGCCTTTTCACCCACTTAATTTTCAGGTATTTCATAAAACTTTCAATGTGTATCATCTTTAAACCTCCTTCTCCATATTCAAGAATCATTGTATCCCGTTTGATTTTGTCAGGTTTGTACCCCCATATAAATCTATAAAAAACTGTGTTAATTTCGCTTATCCATTTTTTACCTGGATTTGGCAGTGAATACAGTAGATGTGTTATAAGTGGTAGTGCCAGTGTTTTAACAACTGTGATCTTTCCTAAAAGAGTAAGATTTCTTTTAGACCACATTCCAAGCAATTTTCTTATTTTTGATAGCTTTTCTTTAAAATTCAATTCAATGATTTCAGATAACTCCAAAGAAAAATTAATTCCAAGAAGTTTGAAGTTTTTTGAAGACCAATCAAATTTATGTTCAGGGCATAAAATCTCTTCTGAGTATTTCTTGTTTCCGATCCATATCAATCGACACTTATCTATGTTAAGTTTAAGTCCAGATACTGAAGAAAATATACTGAAGTCATTTATAGTACTTGACAATGACTTTGAAGACCCATCTAGGAATAAAAAGGCATCATCTGCATATTGACCAAGCAAATATTCTCTATTGTTTATTTGTACACCTTTGATACTTTTATTTTTTTTCCATTGTATAGCCAACATTTCAACACCTATCAGGAATAGATATGGGGAGATGGGATCCCCTTGTCTACATCCACGTTTTACGTCCAAAAATGATGAAAAATACCCATTATTAATTATTCTGCTTTTTGCATTATGATAGAAAATATGTATCCATTTAATCAAAGATTCACCAAAATTGAAAGATTTTAAAGACCTATGAATAAAACTCCATTCTATCGAGTCAAAGGCTTTTTCAAAATCAACAAGTAGCAACAAACCAGACATATTTTTTTCTTTTAATTCATGCATTATATCATATACTAATTTTGTCTGGACATCATACATGTACATACAGTTAGGACATCATACATGTACAAAAAGTCTGGACATCATACATGTACACACAGTTAGGACATCATACATGTACATACAGTCCGAACATCATACATGTTCATACAATCCGAACATCATACATGTACATTCAATCCGAACATCATACATGTACATACAGTCAGAACATCATACATGTACATACAGTCCGAACATCATACATGTGCATACTGTCCGAACATCATACATGTACATACAGTTAGGACATCATACATGTACAAAAAGTCTGGATATCATAAATGTACATACAGCCGAACATCATACAATTACATACAATCCGAACATCATACATGTACATACAGTCCGAACATCATATATGTACAACATACAGGTCGAACATCATACATGAACAAAAAGTCTGGATATCATAAATGTACATACAGTCCTAACATCATACATGTCCATACAGTCCGAACATTATACATGTACATACAGTTAGGACATCATACATGAACATTCAGTCATAACATCAGGCATGTACCTTCAGTCATAACAGCATGCATGTGCATACTGCCCTAACATCATACATTTGTACATGTACATACAGTTAGGACCTCATACATGTACAAAACGTCTGGATATCATAAATGTACATACAGTCCTAACGTCATATATGTCCATAAAGTCCGAACATCATATATCTACAACATACAGTTCGAACATCATACATGTACATACAGTCCGAACATCATATCTTATGTATTACATCTCTGATAATGACTATTAGCTGCCACTAGATAAATAACGACATAACACATTTTTATGATATGTATACGATTTTCTACTCCATATTTGATAAAGTTTGATTTCGTAATACACGCTAATGTTTGAAAAACTTATAATAGATACTGTACACTAAAAAGAATTAACTCCAGTTGAAAGATAACATGATTTTCACACTGTGAACCATATAATTTGTGTTATCTTTCTTTTTGTTACAATTGTTCTTTTTTTTTAATACTAGTTCATGTTCACATGTTTCAAGCAATATCATGGTGGGCGATATTTCAGAACTACAAAAAAAGCTCTGCCATTTATCCTTATAAAAATACATTTCTTGATCATCTTCATTTTCTTATTGCCGCTCTATCTTAAAAAACAAAACAAACAAAAATGATCAAATATCAGCTTTTGAAACGTTGATATTTTGTATGAATTTATTAATTTGAGACGTTGGAATTGTCCGTCTGATTTTACTCTGGTTTAGTATCACATTGATATACCAAAAGAAATTGTGTTATCGGTTTATATCATACATGTAGTGATTTCCGTTATATCTCAGTACCTGTACTTACTGATAAACTGTAAAGCATAGAGTAAATGAACAGTTTTGGATTACCTAGTCTGAAGTTAAACGGATATCAGTTTCATTCAGTTCAATGCGATGATGTGTAGTTGATAAAAGCTCTGAAAATGTCATTGTACGGAGGGGATGTGTCTTTAAACGTAAATTGTCAATAAAATACATCTGTAAGGATGATGTGTTAATTTGTTCTCTAGTAAATATCTTAAACGAAACAAGCCACTTGTAATAAACAAACCGTAAGTTATCCGGATATATCGTACCCGGCATTACAATGTACGGACGTGTTATTAGTGAATTGAGTCATATTCCAAAGGGCGCCGCCATAACGACGGAGAGGTGTCCCACATACACACCTCGTCAATCGTCATTACAACCATATCTATTCATTGATGCAGCGGTAAGTACAGTCATGCATACTCCGTACTTATATTTGAATAATAGTAACACCATTTACACCAAATGAACATATAAATAGAGTGTGTTTACTCAGATTACGATCATTGTAATCGTAGAATATGCTGTAACGGCTGTAGTAATGTTAGACGGACGGAAACCGAAAGAGGAAGTACATCACGTCATCAGTTTATTAGAGTAGGAATGGCATTCTCTGTACAGTTATATCACCGTCGGATACCATAATATGATGGTTTTACGTATCCAACGGCGTCATTTTCTGATTACATGTAGAGCGGAAGTAATAGGAAAGTTTGGGCAAACCCTCGTTCTATAAATAAACTGCTATATGGTATACGTGTGTGTATATATAGGTATGCATGTGTCTGCGTGGATACACGCGTGAGTATGAAGGGTCGTCAGGGCTTGAACTCTTCCATTTGAAACGCATTGTCACAGGATATCACTGAAATCGTTGTTAAATGATATGAACTTATCGGAACTCAATTGTTCCAACACAATCATGTTTATTTTGAATATATTTGTATTATACTATGTGATATACAGCTATATATAGTTTACAAAGCTAAAAAAGCAAATATAACATATATATATATGTCGTCATAAGTTGAATTCGCGTTGAAATTTACAAGTCTTCACATATTCGTAATAAACGGTTTGTCGGGCGGTAAATATAAAGATTTTAAGAAGCAATTTAGACACACAAAAAGTTTGAAACATACATTTTAAGAAATTTAAAGGAAAATAAAAACCAAGACAGCATTTTCCTTAACAAGACTGAAGGAGGACAGGAATCCTTGTAAAATACTCTGAGTAATATTCTCAGGATTTCTTAAAATGATTACTTTGATGATCCATGAATTTCCGTGACTTTTTATAACATCACACACACACATATATATACTGACCGGCAAAATCAAGTATACACTTTATAAAAGGCACCAGATAATTTTATTTCATCATGATAAAGTCGATTTTAAATCGTATATGTAAAATTTAATTATTTTTGACACCTTTTACACCGAATCAGGACTGCCGTCAACTACCAAAAAGGCAAACGGTCTTACAGAACGACGTAGGGGTCATTTCAATTTTTTACGTGGTTTTGACGTCACAACTGTATACTGTCAAAATACCCTTGTGACCTCAATATTTTGTGTGTCCGCCATTGACTGCCACACAGCGTTTTCTCATGGTCAACACTAAATGTCGTTTTGATTCGACGCTATTCATCGATTACAGATGCAACGATCCTGGCGTGGCGCCGTTTCACGTCGCCGTTCTACTCCAAGGGGTTGGTTGATATGTCCTACTTGTCAACAACACTTCAAAATGCACTTAATCGTCAATCTCGTACAATTCATCACACGCGTCACATGACGTTTTGATGCCCCGGCTTGTAGTACCCCAATCGCACGATTTCTATCCGTTATTGAAAGTCTTGCCATATTGCCGACACACTCAAACATGACGGCCTTTACCAGGGAAGCTTACGGAGGGCACGGTGCACAATTTGCATGCGCATAACTTCAGTGTGTCGCGCTCAGGGTATAAAATGTATGGAAGCCAATAACTTAACATCAAACACATTTAATGCGATTTGTGGATTTTTTTTAACCTTGCAATGATACGATTTCACAAATATAGCAATGATTTTCCAATCAACGTTATATTTGGCAACAATATATTTATTTTAAAAGTGTATACTTAATTTTGCCGTTCAGTATAAATACCTTGTACGTAAGATTTCTCGACTAAGTACAAATTTCATGATAATCTAAAAATGCTATCCACTCCTTCTATTGGTGAATATGTCAGTTTGCACAGATTTGTTTGAGGGATATATAATTAAACGAAGATTATCTCGGAAATATGTCCGAATACTGATGGAAAATATTAGAAATAACAAGACATGTATGCCTTTTTTAAGTCTGAACAGTTAGGTTCATGTATATCGTACAACGGGAGGTAACTCGTAACACCTTGCACTTCCATGTTTCGATATGTAGCATTCGTGTGCATATGTGTTCACAATGATTACGCCATCTACACAAATATCGGGTGGAATATTGGATACATATTTGATATTGTTGTTATTCTTATGACAGCTACCGATCGGACACTCGCTCTGAGAAATAAAATGCATACGCTATTTTAACGTAGCTTGAGATGTACGTAAAAAATGTACGATCATAGTTCTTTCATATATAAAGTTTGTTTTTGTAGAACCAATCCAAATAGAGCCGAGCATTTCGTCTGCACTGTATAAGTCAAATTATACGATGAGTCACAAAACGTAATAGGTATAAACTGCAAATGAGTGCACTATATAAGGCGAATGTCTTGACTGTATTAATTATGCGTAATCGTTCGACGTATTCGAAGAGTTTGAGCCATTTTGATTCAGAAAGATGTTTTATACATCAGTTACATTTCGGCTGAAATTCACTATACCAGGCAAATGTAACGGATACACATTGAGTTTATAATAATATTCAAGATACGTGTAACCTACAAGCATTTCGCATCACTTAAAATTTGTTTTGAACGTATAACAATGCTCTTTTAAACTATTCACGGCCCTTTCCGTCTTTTGTTATCAGAAAAAATGGATTACATAACTACCTTTTGTTTCTCAGCATTTCTCTCACATCAGCAGAATACAGGATGTACAAAATGTAAACGCTTACGAGTCAAATTGTCAGTGTTTTATGCATAACATGTCGTTGCATCTCTACAGGTGTCTACAACCAAATGTGTGAATGTAATCACATGAACAATGTGTTATTTCTATCTAATTTATG